ACAACTGATGTTGTTTTGCACATTTCTTGTTGTCTCCGTCTTTCTTATACAATTGTATTGTTGTTTTTTTGTACTACTTACCGTCTGAGAGCTAGCTTAATAGCATTTCGTTATACCATTTACCTGTGTATGAGTATAATGACAATACACTAGAACTCTATAATGCTCTTTATTTCCAAAAAAACTGTTTAGTTAAACAGTGTTTTGTGACTGAATGAACTTAAAGTTAGGTTCAACATTACCATCAAATTAGTATATAAAAGTCCATTTTCAAATGAACGCTGTAAAACATAACCCATTTTATCTTGTAGTGATCAGTCTTTTGCAAATATTCATTTCATTTTTTGCAATTACTGAATAATTAAAGTAAGTATAATTTTTAAATTATACTTTTTTGTGAGATGTCTGTTTTCCATCACTTTAACATTTAAAGAGGCAAGTTATGTCATGTACCTCTTCCTGTTATTTAACTTCCTTCTTGTTTCCTGTTATCTGGTGCTTTGTCATTCTGCGGCACATTTCTATTTTTAGACTCTACCTATTAAAGCAGGCATTTTTCCCACAGTGGAACTTGAAGTGGACAGTCACCAGTACTTCCTATAGTTTTTAACACCTAATACTTCATAGGTGGGCTCCTTAGCATTACTAATTATTTTAAAGTTTAATTCTTCCATTTTCGTGGATGATGTAGCTTTTTTAGATAGAAAAGAAAGAAGGTAATATCCTGGAATGAGAAGATATACTGTAGCTAGTTCTCAAAAGATATCTTAGATGTCTTAAACCTAAACTTACAGTTAACTTAAAGATAGGGGGTTCCGCACAGTATAGTAGCTTTTCATTCCACTTGTCTTGTCTGGATAAAATCCTAATATTACTGTTCAAAAGATTAGGGGTGTTGATCCTGATGTACTGTGAGTAATGTTTTACTTCTCCACCTGATCTGTGTACAGAAGCTGATGGAGCACAGTGACTGCAGCGTATCTCCCAAGTGTGTTTTGGACTGTAGGTGGTGGATGAAGTGTTTCTCTTTCTTTCTGTAAAGACACCTTTGGAATCCTTTGGGATGAAAAGTGATATACGAATACAAGAATATGTTTTTAATCATTTTCATTATTGAAGGTCCACACCGATTTTCATCACTGACTAACCTAAAGACAAGTTCATGGTTGCCAGTAACACAGAGAGAATGATGATATAGTTCAAAACACCCAGATCTACTCATTGTGTACTAATTTGTGTTTGGGTCGTATGGATTAATGCGGGGGTATGTAGTCTGTAACCTTATTTGTTCAAATTTGTTATGTTGAGTGATTGTTAATTTCTGTTACTTAATGTGTTAATTACTTATTCTCACCTTTGCACATATGGAGTTTCTTGGAGTGTGCTGGCTTTATGGTATGTTATTTATTATTATATATATTATGCACATATAAATAATATGATATATCCTGGAAGATGTACTGTAAGTGAAGAATGATCTTCAAAAAACCTGAAAAGCCCTGAGCAGTTAAGAACCTTCACTTTTTTGTCATCTTTCACAGCACATCACGCTTTGCATATCCAATCACCCCTGTATTAGAAACAGTTGATGCTTGGGGATTCTGCCGATTTCTCTCCTTAACTAATGGCCTCAGCTTTCATCATTCTGTGAGCTGAAGTTCAAAGCTGTTAAGCAGAGTGTGGAAAATAAGATTCCGGGGCAGGAGCCTTCAAAAAGAATCTGTAAGACCAATGTTCTCGTGCTTCTGCAGTCATGGCATCTTGCGGAAAGAACATATTGAAATATTGTGACAAGACCGATGTTATATGCCTTTCCTTGTGTTGTAAAAATTGTGATATCCTTTCCCTCTGGAGAGAAAGTGGGGAAGAGAAAGAAGCCAAGAACAGCATGGGGGATTGAGTTAAAGAGGGATAAAGTCAGTTCAATGCAAATCCCTATCTTAAGGAAAATGCCCTTGGTTCTGTTAGTTCTGCATAAAGTCTGACCTTTGTCTGTGCTTATGAAATTGTGTTTTTTGCCTCTGCCTTTAACATCCCAATGTTAGAAATCTAGGTCACTTATAGAGAGTGTTCTGAAATGGTATGGTTATGTGCACTGCCTGACACAGACAATTAATACAGTAGCTTGAGGCAGAATTCAACAAAGAGAGGTGGTTGGACATGTTAACAACTATAAGCAGTGCAATTTATTGTCAATTTATTGCTGTGCTGCAAGAGAGTTTCTAAATTTTGATGATTGCTTAGTATTTACAGTATGTGTGCTTAGAGCAATAATAACAAGCTTAAGTTTATTTTCCAATTTTAATGGCAGCCTATCTGAAATATTACAGTTTATATTACAAACTTTTTTGGTTGCTTTCCTGTATAAGATGTTAAGGTAAAGACATTGAAATTTATTTTACTTATTTTACTCTTAGAAGAACCAACATTCAAGGTTTTGATGCTTAACCAAGCAGTCAGCATGTCGTGCCAGTAAGGTCTAAATAAAGGTTGATAGTATCTACTAATTGTGATGTTATATACTGAAAGCAGAATTAAAAATCTGTTTAGTCTGTTCTGCTTTTTAGCATTGTGAAATGGTCAGAGCTAATAATACCAGACATCAAAAGAATCCTATCGCTTACAATTACACCAGATTAACAAAGCTGTCATCAAGAAAATGTCAAAATATTTTATGTAGCAGATGTACTGACATTTTTTAACAGAAATGACACTGTTAATTATGCTTATACACATTTGGAAGCAAAACACACTGTACATCTGTGATGCAATATTTTGCACCAGGTTGCAGGTGCTGTATTGTGGGATTCTGTTCCATTCCTCTTACAGAGTCTTGACAAGCAGGTTTCTGTTCACTGGTCTCTGAGCCCTGGATATGTCACGTCTTCCCGGCTCATCCCACATCATGTGAGGGGTGCTGAAGTCTGGCAAATAGGGCATCTGCTGCATACATTTCACATTCACACCTTGCAGGAAAGCCTTTGCTGCGTAAACAGCATGAGAACATGTGCTGTCTTGCTTGTCATGTCAGGTGAGACCAAACTGTAGGTGGGGCAGCAAGGGACCTGATCACTGTAGGTTGATCAACTCAAGTTGCCATCAGGTAGATTTCAAAGTGGATTTCTGTAGCAACTAAACAATCCCGCCCAAGCCATCACACTTGAATCTCCTCATCTATTGATCTGTTTTAACAACAAGTATTGTATCATACAGTACATCTGTCAGGGTAGTAAACCTTGGTTCAGTGCTAATAATGATTTGCTTTCACTGCTCTATGTCCATCTAAGACAACTTAGTCCAAATTTCAACTTAAAGATGGCATGAAGATGTTGCGCTCTGGATAAGTGTAGAATATTGGCTCGTTTCTATACTTAGTTGTAGGTACAGTTCTGTAGTAGGTTGCACTATTCTTTCTGGTCCAAAACTTCCAAATGAATACCCAGTATGATAGAAGGGTACACAGTGCTGTTGGCAGCGCCATCTTCCGTACGCAACATTAAAACAAAATCCTGATTACTTGGTCATTGAGGATCTCATGGCACTGTTTGTAATAGGAAGGATGTTTACCCCAATGTCCTTTTCTAGATTTTATTACCTTCTACTCTTGGCTATATTCTACTCGTGACTTGCAAAGTCTGGCCTACCTCATTTTCCCCCTGAATTCAGTCGGCGAGATAGTCTTACTTCTCCACCTGATGTGCTGTGTAGAGGGGCTGCTGGTGAGAAAAGGCTGCCAAGACTCACTCAGGTACAGTAGGTGCTTTTGTTCAGCGGTGGAAGAAGTGGATCCCTTTAAGTGAGGCACTTTGTGAATCTTTGTCATGAGAAATACCAGGAATCATTATTGCAGTATCTTTTATCAGCAAGTGGTCAGGATGAATTGGAATGTCAACATGAATTAGCCTTGGCCTCTGGCTTTACAACTGTAGATAACAGCATCATCAAATTAGACTTCTAATTTGCCTTTGCTTATGTCAAGTAAAATTTACTGTATATACTCAGCATCCTGTAGGTACATGCTGTATATTATATTTATTTATATTAAAGTCTTGGGAATCATTTCTTCAAAACTCAGCCATCCCAATAATGCTGTAATTAATCAGGTGTTTGATGAAACCATACTTCTCAGCTGTGAACCTGATGTGTTTTGAACAATATGATTGTAGTAAAGCACAGCGCTTGGTAAACAATCACTTCAATAACTATAATTCAAATAAATTCGGAGTTTGCATCTGTCTTGGAATTGCCTGCTTTCCGGTATTTTGGCAATACTGGCCTACAGGTATTTTTCCCAGGGGAGCGTATTGAGTGGACTTGAGTGGGTGGGATTACTCATACCCAACAGATGCGAAACAGCTTATTTTATTTTTAACTTTTTCTGAGCGACAAACTGCCTTAAAAAACAGGATTACAGCATGACATAAGTAGGCTGTGGGTGTGATGTTGTGTGTGGCTAGACATAGGTGTGTACCTACTGCAGCGCAAACTCTGAGCCCCGCAATTATCTGCCTGCGCTAATATTGTCAGGTCCTGTAAAGTGGACTAAGGAACCTGTACTTGGACCTGAGAGGCGAGATTAAGCATGTAGAGATTACCGATCTAAAAAATAAATAAATACAGATAACCTATTACTTTTGCATTTGTGCATTTCAGCGGGGATTGTAAATCAGTTGGGTTACTCGTTTGTCTCTCAGTAATTTAGAATGAACCGCGCTGTACCAAACTGCTCCCTGTTTGGAGCGCCGGTCCTTCCACGTGGTGGAAATAATAATACAGCGTGCTCAGTGCCCAGGCAGGGACGACGAGCCCCGGGCAGTGCAGACATGCTGTCGCCACTCCGCGTGTAGGAAGAGGCGCAGCGCTTCGTTCCGTGACGTCACTGCAGGCCTGTCGGCTTCTCGAATCTGATTGGCTACGGAATTATGGTTATTATAATAAGAACACAGCCTCACCTGGTCCTTAAATTCCCACTTTGAAGGTCGGGGAGGCTCAGGTGGGTGACGAACTAGATATTGCCAAGCAGTAGTAGCCTAAGGATGTTCGTTCCCGCTATACCCCCCTTTGGTTTCAAGCGGCAGGGCCAGTGGAGATGATACGTCTGCGCTGGTAGCACCTTTCCAAGGAGCCGGCGGGCTGGTCCCTCTCCGCCTTGGCGGCGGCAGGGCAGTTGTGCGCAGCCGCTAGGCGAGCCCTCAGTGCGGGGGGCTGGTGACCCCGCTGTGCCGGACACGCAGGAATGCCTGTCTCGGCAAGCAAGGGAGTGCCTTTGCCGGGTCAGCCCCTGGGGACAATCCGGTTAGCTCACTTTGTGTTTGAAGACAAATTTAGCAGACGGTTGTGTCGTCTCATATGTACTGATCGCAGGTAGGTCTGCTCCACCTTTTTAAATCTTTCACGCGCCCTGAACAGTTTTATGTTTGAATTTGGGAATATACGGGCAAGTATAAAATATTTGCTGTATTTTATCGTGACATTAATGGTTTTGTCAAGTTAGGGTGACCCGGTGCAAATGCATTTCATGCAAAAGCTATCCCTACTTTCATGTAACTTTTGTTTTCCGAATAATTTTAAGTCTTGGCCTGGGCTGGGTATTAAAATACTGTCTGGAGTCTTACCGCACCACGAGTTCTCCAAACTGCGAGATGTGTTTGTACTTTCACTGTGGTTTTAAGCATGTTTTTCAAAATGCAGCTCCGTGTTTTTGTTCCATTTGAGTGTAATGATGGCGAAGATTTGTAGATGTAACTTTAGTCTTCTGTAAAATGCAATGTGTAGTCTAATACGCTTAAGTGTGCGATAGATTTTCCGGACCACCATCCCTGCATGTTGTTTCTTTTTTGATTGTAAGAATAAAACCAGGTCGTGCTCCTTTTACAATTCCATAGGATTTGTGCGATTCCTCATATAATTAATCCAAGTAATTTGTGCGGACTTGCAGGTCCCATTAAATCACTTTCAGTGTTTTACGAATGTTTATTTTCACGATAATTGGGTGTTTGGGTTCTTGGTTGTACTGTGTACTAAACAAGGTGTCTTAACACATTCTGCCCATTGGAGAGCAAGTAGTTTACAAATTGCACTGTAGTTTGGCTGTTGGGATGAGGATAAGTGTCTTTAGATGAATGATATTGTGCCCCCTAGGGCTACTTCTTAGGTAGTGTTGAAGTTCACTATGGTCTCTGCTAGTTGATACATGATAGTAAAGTTTCGTGTTAATGCTCATCACGTCTTTAAACGTAAATGTATGAAATGTAGTCCACGAAAGGTTTGCACTGTAGAAGTGCTTCAGTGCTCTTTGAATGTCAAAGAAACCATAAACGGTCATGATGTTTTAACATTTTTAATGATTCCTTTGCGAAACTCGAAATCCCACCTTCAACAGGTGAAACAATGACAGATTTTATTCTCTTATTTCAGGGATTGCTCCAATTTTACAGTGAAGTGGTGAAAGCTAGTCTGTCGGTCAGTTTTGTGATGGCTGTTAGATAGTCTAAACATCTGAAATACAAAGGGGGAGAAAAGTAGGCTTACCGTTTTAAATAAAGTAATGTTAATGACAAAAGAAAACCAGTTCCGAAAGGCATTGTTTCACCTGAATTAGCCCAGCATACAGTGTGGAAAATTACCATTGGGTGAGGGTTAATGACCTGAGAATGTCCCTAATTAATTCCGACACAATGTTCTTAGATGTTGCTAAATTGTGAGAATACTAACAAAAATGCTAACAAAACTTTAATGTTACTTGTCTTTTTTGTATTATCTTGAACCTCACGTTCCCCGTCAGCTGCGGTTTTTCCATTTTCCTTCTGCCTCCGAAACCACTTGTGACTTTAACGTGTTGTTTAAATCGGACCCACGTGAGGGTGAATCGGCCCCCGGATGAGGGCTCTCTTCCTGTCGGGAGTGCTCGATTTAACGCCCTGTCCGTCGCTCTTCCAGATCCGGAGAGACGCCGCGCGGAGGGTGCCGGGAACAAGGCGTGACGGAGTAGCCCCGAGGGAGAGATCTGCGCCCGAGCAGCTCTGGAGAGGGGAGCTGAAACCCTGAAGCCAAGGCGCCCTCTTGAGTTCTGTCAGACCTGGCCTTGCAGGCTTCGCCGGCCCAAACAAACCTGCTGTGCAGACCGACAGAGGAAGAAATGGAATCCCTTTCCCAGGACTCGATCTTGGAATGCCAGATCTGCTTTAATTATTACAGTCCCCGGCGCAGGCCAAAACTGCTCGACTGTCGGCACACCTGCTGCTCAGTGTGCCTTACGCAGATGAGGACCAGTCAAAAGGAGATCAGGTGCCCCTGGTGTCGGGGCGTTACGAAGCTGCCGGCGGGCTTCTCGGTATCCCAGCTCCCCGACGACCCGGAGATCATCACCGTGATTGCCATCCCTCACGCCTCGGAACACACTCCCGTCTTCATCCGGCTCCCTAGCAACGGCTGCTACATGCTGCCCCTGCCGGTCGCTAAGGAGCGGGCGCTGCTGCCCGGAGACTTCGGCTGTCGGCTCTTGCCAGCGGGCGGCCAGCAGAAGGGGGTCGCCGTGGTGACGGTGCCCGAGCAGCAGCCCCTGCAGGGCGGGCCCGGCCCCGAGGGCGAGGAGGGCGAGGTCGAGAGGCGGGGGGCGGTGAAGAGCTCCACCTGGTCTGGAGTGTGCACTGTGATACTGGTGGCCTGCGTTTTGCTGTTCCTCCTGGGCATCGTCCTGCACAACATGTCCTGTATCTCGAAACGGTTCACGGTCATCTCCTGTGGCTGAAAGCGCGGCCCCCGAAAGCGGGAAGGAGGTTTCAGCGCAAGCGTGTGGCAGCCAGGGAGAAGGCTGAGAAGCCAAAACCATGTTTTTGTTGGTGCAGCCCATTGCTGGTACGTTTCGAGCACTGGGCTGCAGACAATAGCACAGGACACTCACACCTCCCTCAATTCCTTCCCTCCCTCTCCCATTACCCTTTCTCTCGAGAAGGTAGTTAGGAATAGGTTTCAGAGGGAATCAGTGATTTAAATTTCCATATTGTTTAGGGCTCACAGTGGTGGAAAACATTGTGCATCGTCGTGTTACTGAAATGCCTACTTCCTGTAAACAGTAGTGTAAAACAAAAACTGAGTCCTAAGTGTCAGAAATGAAATCATGTCTCCTGTGCTTAGTTGGAGATGCAATATAAAAAATCTAAATGCAGTTTTCCTTGTATTTGGTGCTGCAGTATCTAAATATTTAGAAACCACTTTTAGCCACGTGTTGTGTGGTAGAGACTATTAATTGCCAATCTACTGTATGTACATTTTTGTTTCTATTTCTAAGAAAAAAATGTAAGTAAGTGGTATTGTTGAAGCTTGCATTATAATACAGTACACACTGAGTGGTCATGTCAATAAAAGGGAATATTATGCTGTGTAATGCCACCATCTAGGAGCAAGCACAGATCCTTAGTGGCATCAAAAAACAATAAATATGTCACATAAAGCCATAATCTTCATATTTGCTCAACCACATTGAATGGAAATTTGCCTGTGCATAGTTTAGACAGTCATGTCCCGGAAGTAGTCAAAGCTTAATTGCTTTCAAATGAGGAATCCAGCATTTTTCACCAGTTTCTGTCTTATCCATGTGCTGTACACATGTATGACTCTTCTCAAAAGAGGAACGAACAGGCACTCTTTTTGTGAGCTTTTCTAACATGGGACTTTTTCAACATCATTTGCTTTGAGTTCAATTATGCCAAATCGGAGATTAAGACGTTTAGGTCATACTAACTGGTTTGTTGAAGCTGTGGAGGTTAAGCTGCCCAAATCATGAGGCTCTTCATTTTAGTCCCCTGATAATAAATTATTTTACAATATTAAAGCAATTAAATGTAATAAAACAGGGTGTTTTACATGTATATGTACAAAATGATTGTATTTTTTTTTCTATTTACTGTGTTTTATCAGTAAATGAGCTTCTTTGGAAAAAGCTCCTGATATGCTGCATGATTTGAGTAGATTGTGTTTCACAAAGATGTGTGTTGGCGGGTCAGAGTCAGATAGGTGTAATGTGTGTTAATATATGTGAACCTGGGATTGCAGAAAAAAAGAAAAGTCACATTTTTCAGAAAGATGATTTCTCTCCACTAGGGCTACTGACAAAAGGAAACGATGTCAAATTATTTGTGTTGGGATGGAGGTAGTTTTTTAGTGTTTTTTTATCTTTGATAGATGAGGGAATTTAGTTGACTGCCTTAATTTAAAGTATCAAGTACCACATTCCCATTGCTGGATATTCCTGTGATGGCATTTTGTGTCTTAGTGGCTTCTTCTACATTTTCTTTGGCAAGAGTCACAAAGATAATTATTAAGGTTAAGATTTCCTGTGATAGGACTGTTTAGTACCTTGTAATACAGAGAACTTAATGTCTAAATGATAAAAGATTGCTATTGTTGGCATATATAAGCCTGGATTTCAGTTTATTGCTCAAAATAATGTTTGGTGTTTATCATAGAAGAAGTCACACAGGTACTTCTAGGATGTACGCACAAGTATGAAAACATGCTTACTGACAGCTTTGATTTTATTTTTTGTCACACTGTTTTCATCGACGTGTCAGAAGTATTTTCAGATGTTTTCCTAGCTTGAGTGTTGGTAGAGTTTGAGATGAAGAATTCTGCATACCCTTCAAAGCACGAGTCAGAATCATTGTTATGAAGTTTTTTTAAGTTTTAAAATGCATTGTGGGAGGCTCTGGCTGGACCTTTACTCCTGTTTACTATAATCCCATGTGTTTTTTTTTTAACGGTAAGAGGAAAAAGAAATTGTAGAAAAACATGTTTCTCAGTAAATTATTTTACAATTATAAAGGACTAAATTGAAATAAGAAAACTTATTCTACTCCCTCTTTTTGTTTTTGATCTTGTTCTGTATCCCTGATGCGTATAACATCTTGTATGATTTATTGGTTTTGTAATTTTTATTTTTGAAAATACTTTTGTATGATAGTTTTCATCCTTATCTTAATAAGGGGTAGTGGAACAGCGAAAAAGAGCTTCTACTGTACCACTGTCACAGATAGCTTTACATCGGTATGATAGGCACCTCTACGAGGGTGGCAATACATTTTGTATCTTCTGCTGCGATATCTGTGCCAGCAATTTGTTAGTGCTGAAGTCTCTCTATGTAAACGTGTCTGTAGTCGTGACTGCTTACGTCTCTTTACTGATGCGAGCAGAAGTTTAAAGAACATTAAAGAACATCTGAAATGTAATTTCATGGCCTCATTGACATTTTTTGGGGGGTAACTGCTTAATTCAAACACAAAAAGGTGATCGCGTGATTGTGAATAAAAGCTTTCATGGGCCTATGAAGATCATGCGGAATTGAGGGGAAGCATTGTTTTCCCTTGCTTGGTTTCTGCAATCATAAAATAAAAAGGGTCAAATTGTGCTTCCCAAATAACAAACTCGCTGTACCTAATTGGGATTTTGAAGAAAATAATAATACACACTCCATGATGAATTTTCAAGCTTATCAATACACACAACAATAGGTTATTCACATGATAGATGACAGCTCTAGAATATAGAGATGCTGTATTACCTTAGTGATGGTAAATTGCAAATATTGGCTTCTTAAACGCTTGTAAAAGTGCATATTGTAATGAAGGTGGGTAGCTGCGTCAGCATGCGTAGGCTGCAAAGGAACAAGTAATAGGTTTATTCCATGCTGAAAAAAAGAAGAAAGAACACAACGTTTCGGCCGTGGAGCCTTCTTCAGGTGTGAGAGAGACAGGGCAGTAGGCAAAGGTAAAGTAGCGGGAGAACAAAGGTTGGGAGGGAGGAGGAGTGAGAGGCGGGAGCAGGGGACAGAAAGAGAGGCCACTCAAGAGGTGTGAAGTCAGAATGGGTGCAGAGAGGTGTGAAATGAAACTTCCAATGAATGGAGAAAATTTAAAAGAACAGTAATCTGTCGTTAAGGGAAGGGAGAATGTGTGATCCCAACTGCAGAATAATTTTAGTTTCGGTGGTCTTTCTGATGTATGAGTTCGGAAAACCGTCTTTGAGAACACAGACGGAGAGATTAGTGTGGTCGTGGCCGTCAGAGGTGAAATGAGAAACAATGGGCTTGGAGAGATCTTTAATCTTCACAGCCCTGACGTGTTCTCTGAAGCGGTGTAATGTAATATTGTAATGAAGTTTGTCTCATGAAGGTATATCAACCACATTGCTCTATTCAATGAAAACTATTGTATATGAAAAGGTAAACACTGCAGTCGGTCTCCATAAATTTCGTATTGATATAGGAAATAGGCTTGATGAACAATGATAGAATGATGCAGTAATAAATATGAATGAGAGCGGGCTAGGAAACATTGGGATTTTTCATTTAATGCGGGAAATACAATTTCTGGAGCGCTTGTTTGCAATTCTGATAACATTTGCATCCCATTTGAAGGTGTTTAACATGGTTATTCCTAGAATCTTGAAAGATACCACAGTACCCATTACGACTTCGTCAGTTTCCAGGGGGATGGGTTTTGGAGGTTTGTTCTGAAAGAAAATGAATTCCTAAGTGGGGGGAAAAAAAAGCTTTTAACTATTTAAGAAGATTAGATGGGCTAAATGGACTTCTCTTGTTTGTAACCTTTACAGTATGTTCTTGTGCAAAAAGAATTTTGTGCTATCCTACATCAAATATTTTGGTTTTAAAATATTCCATTTGATTACATCCTAAAATACCCGATCAGTTCTTGAGTGAAACTTTCTTGTGCTTATTTCTCAGGATGAAGTATGCCTGTGTTAACTGGTCTTTATGTATTTGCTCATCAATTGAACATGTAGATCTGGAAAAAAAAAATTCCTGTCTTTTGATCACTCTGTCATGCTTACAGCTACACAGTTCATTCCTTCAGCGACACATTCATTTACAACCTTGAGGATGTGAGTATGACATTAACGCAGAAATCTACAGTGTGATTAAATGTGAGGTGACAGCCCAATATCTCTACACCCATCCAACAAGACATTAACACACCATACATCAGTTTCTGCCTGTTATATCAGGGAACACATGACACGATACCTAGTGCTACTATGCCATGGTCACAGAGCAATATAATTAATGCCATCATGCTAATGTCTAAAAAATGATAGATGCCAATTACTTTGCCAGCCTTTGTTCGAACTAGGATTTTTCACTGAAGTAGAAATGTAGCTTAGTATTGCGAGAGAGATCATATGTTTTCCGATTTGTTTTCAGGTGGCTGAAACTGCAATGTATTTTGAACTGCTGAGCAAAGACAGGTTTCCTGCTTTTAAATAGGAAGCAGTAGTGGGACATACTGTATAAGAATTGTGAGTGCAGAACAGCTGAATAAAAAGTTACCCTATTACACTAAAAGAAAATTAGCGACTTTTCTACATTGCTCTAAAATTTAGTTTCAGGTTTGATTTGTGCTTCTTTCTGTCATACGCCTCCATGCTTACACATGTGAAATATTTTTTCTTTTATTAAGCAATCACATTCGATTAACTTGTGTCGTTTTTTAGCTTTAAAGACAGGCAGATAGATGAAAAATACCAACTGGCAAGGAGGTAAGCCTCCCATTAATTATTGCTTGGATGAAATCATTCTTCACCAGGACAGATCTTGTACTTTTCCAATTATTTATTAGGTCTTGTCTATTTTTTATGACTCTTTCATACAAACTGCCACTGCCAGCATTGTGATACAGTTTTCCTGAGCCCTAAAACTGATTGTTAGAGATTAACTGTGACTCATGAATGAACTGGATATGTAGCTCTTGCAGTGTACTTCTGCCTTTTTATCACATATAAACACGTTATGAGTTTCTTTCATAAATTAAATGCCCCATCCTTGTGTTTTGTCCACTTTACACCTTTTTTTTGTCTCGATACAGGATCTTGCTGTTAAATGGCCTTCATGATTGTATTAGTACTGCAGGTTTTATTAGTTATAATCCCTCACTTTGTTTAAGGGAATTAGTGAGTTTTTAAATTTGGAACCTTAAGAATACTGAATTCAGTTTGTAACAGAGGAGCCTGCAATTCAAACACAAAAAAATGATGCAATCTAAATTTTAATATAAGGACAAGTCTGTTATACCAAACAAAGCATTGGCATGAATCAGGAGATGCATTAACTATTTCTCTGTCCAGTGTGTCAAAGATGCCCTTTCCCTAACTTTTCTCTTTCCCTAAATTTTGGGGGTCATGAGACATGGGAAAAATGTAATTCAAATGCCATTTGTTGATTGAAACTGACAGTGATTAATAATGATTATTAATGTATTATTATGTAATACATTATGACAGTGATTAATAATGTATCTGAGTAGTTAGGGGAAATAATTTCAACTTTATAAATTTGGTCTGAAATGTTACATCATGATTACAATATAAAGCATGCTGCTAACAAACACATTTTAGAAACCAGTGTGAAAGCTAGTAGTGGTCAAATTTACAAATATACAGTAACACACAAAACCACAGGTTGAAACAAGTTGTCTGCAATTTTGCTTTAGTCAAATATCAGCATGAATGTTGCAACAGATTGATATTTCATTAATTCCCTTTCCCCTTAGATAAATGACTAAAGAATTGTCAGATTGTTTTCAGTGGTAAAATATTGCTGTATAGCTATCATGTTGATAGACAATTAATACTTTAATTTAGAACTTTTCAATGAAAAACAGAGATGTGCTTTGAGAGCACAGTTTTTTTTCTTTGGATTATATAACTCCTGGGCATAAAAAAAAATCACTATTTCTGAAAAGGAAAGGTTTAGCAGCAGTGGACTTCTGTGCCAAGCAACGATTCATGCAATGCAGTCGATAATTTATTGCTTTTATCATTGAGGGCTTAGGTATATGGAGGTACTTTGTCAGGAACTGTCAAAACCCACTCTGTTTCAGCAGTTACTGCACAAGGGAAGGCTATGTACAATATGTAAGTACTTGAAGAAGATAAGAAAGTAATAAAGGCTTAACATTGATGGACATGGTGACGTTTTTGGAGAAGGGGGGCAGAGTTTTCAATAATCTTGTAAAAAGAAGTAATGAATAAAAATGGTGCTTCAATTAATAATAATACCTTATACTTATACAGTGTTATTCTGGACACTCCACTCAAAGTCCTTTATAAGTAATAGGTATCCCCTCCACCACCAATGTGCAACCCCACCTGGATGATGCAATGGCAGCCATAGTGCACCAGTGTGCTTACCACAATTCCTATTGTCCAATGACACAGAAAACCATCAGTAGAGCTTTTTGGTTACACTGGGCTTGCTGGACTTTCTTCAGTAACATACTGTACTGTATGAAGGTCCCTGGTATGCCTCTGCACAGATATTACTGTAATCTCCATCAAGATTTATTCCATTGATTTGTTTTTGCTTTCATGCTAGTTCACATTTACACAAATGCTTTTTTATATTGCCCAGTATGTGTTTGGATGTCATCTTTCTTTCATAATACCTGGAAGAAGTAGGGTAGGCACCATGGGATGGAGGTGAGAGTGCTTGGTGGTTTCACCATAAAAGAGCAACAGAAATAAACTGAACTACTTTCTGGACTCTGCAATTGAAATCCGCAATCTCCTGCTCAGTTATAACGACACTGGTATGAACATATCCCATAATTACACAGCATTGTTTATTTCAACATCTTTAAGTGTTAATCTATAGCAGTATAAGGGGTAAGGAAATGGGATGTTATTGTTAAACTTTGAAAAAAAGATGAAGTAGCACACTGTGCTTTTCAGGTTAACACCAGTGTTTTCTCTATCATCAATCATTCTCTGCATGTATCTATACAACCCTGTTCAGGAACACCAACTGCTGTGGAGCTATAAATGCAGAAAGGCACAATTTGGATATCTGATAAGGGCAATTAGCCTCCAAGCCTCAAAATGAATAATAAATACATTGCAAAAATAATTGCCTTTGATGGTAATTTTCTGCTTTCTAATTTATCCAATTGACTAACTTGGACATTAAATACTGTAGATTATTTTCATTATTGTCTTAGTATTTTGCTTTATTGCTAAACATTTTAATGTGATCTTCATTTTTATTACATATTTAGTACAGTATGCATTTATATGGTCCTACATTCCTTATCATTGTGAAATGAAAATAACTAATTAATATTCATTCCCAAAATTTACAGTATATTGACTGGTGTGTATATACACTGTACATTAACAAAAGAAAATTGATATCACAAAAGACAGCTACTCCACAACT